ACCCCAGACAGGTCCTGGCAGCTCCAAACCCACCCCAGTGACTCCAGACAGGTCCTGGAAGCCCCAAACCCACCCCAATGAGCCCAGACAGGTTCTGGCAGCTCCAAACCCACCCCAGTGACTCCAGACAGGTCCTGGAAGATCAAAGACCCCCAGATCCACCCCAGTGACCCCAGACAGGTCCTGGCAGCTCCAAACCCACCACCATTGACTCTGGTGAGGTCCTGGCAGCTCAAAGACCTCCAAACCCACCCCAGTGACTCCAGACAGGTCCTGGAAGGTCAAAGACCCCCAGATCCACCCCAGTGACCCCAGACAGGTCCTGGCAGCTCCAAACCCACCCCAGGGACCCCAGACAGGTCCTGGCAGCTCCAAACCCACCCCAGTGACCACCATTGGGTCCTGGAAGGTCAAAGACCACCCCAATGACCCCAGACAGGTCCTGGAAGATCGAAACCACTCCGATGGTCACTGCCAGGTCCTGGCAGCTCAGAGACCCCCCAAAACCCTCCCAAACCCCCATTCCCACCTTCCAGATCATCGTTCCTGTCCGTCCATGGCTCTGCCCCGTCGAAGTGGGTGTCCCCCCCGATGTGAGGCCCCGGGAAGTAGGCGTGGGCCAGGAACCCCCCGGGCCGTCGAAGGGGGTGCTGTCCCCGTGGAACCCCTCGGCGAAGAGGACCATGATGTCGGCCTGGGGGGCGCTCCCGGAGCGGATGGAGCCGTAGGGAACCTCCCGGAAGCGCAGGGAGGGGGCGGCGGCCGCCCAGGCCCGGAGGGCGCGGCGCACGGCCCGGGCGGTGCCCGCCTCGCCCACCTTGGGGGTGTAGTTCTGGATGCTGGGGGGGAAAAGGGGGCTTAGGGGGTCCTAAGAGCATCCCAGACCACCCCAAGGGGGTCCCAGGGGGGTTTCAGGGGGTCCCAAGGGGGTCTCAGGTCACCCCCAGGTGTTTCTCGTGGTGGGATCCCATCCCTACGTGTCCCTCAGGGGGTCCCAAAGGGGTCTCAGATGGTCCCAGGGTGGTCTCAGGTGGTTCTAAGGGGGTTTCAGGGGGTCCTAGGGGGTTCTGAGGTCACCCTAAAGGGGTCCCAGGGGGTCCTCAGGGGGTCCCCAGGGGGGTCCCAGGCGCACGGCCCGGGCGGTGCCCGCCTCGCCCACCTTGGGGGTGGAGTTCTGGATGCTGGGGAAAAAGAGGCTAGGGGTCCTAAGAGCATCCCAGACCACCCCAAGGGGGTCTCAGGGGGTCCTCAGGGGGTCCCCAGGGGGGTCCCAGGCGCACGGCCCGGGCGGTGCCCGCCTCGCCCACCTTGGGGGTGGAGTTCTGGATGCTGGGGGGAAAGGGTCCTCAGGGGTCTTAGGGGTTCCTCAAGGTGGGATCCTATCCCTACGTGTCCTCATCAGGGGTCTCTCAGGGAGTCCTCCAGGGGTCCCAGGCGCACGCTCAGGCGCCTGCCTCCTTGCCTTGGGGGTGGAGTTCCCTGGATGCTGGGGGGAGAAAGGGGGTCTTAGGGGTCCAAGAGCATCTCAGACCACCCAAGGTCTCAGGGGGTCCCAAAGGGGTCCCCAGGGGTCCCAGGCGCACGGCCTAGGCGGTGCCGCCTCGCCCACCTTGGGGGTGTAGTTCTGGATGCTGGGGGGGGGAAAAGGGGGCTTAGGGGGGTCCTAAGAGCATCCCAGACCACCCCAAGGGGGTCCCAGGGGGGTCTCAGGTCACCCCAAGGTGGGATCCCATCCCTACGTGTCCCTCAGGGGGTCCTAAGGGGGTCCCAAGGTGGTCCCAGGGTGGTCTCAGGTGGTCCTAAAGGGGGTCTCAGGGGGTCCCAGGGGGTTCTGAGGTCACCCCAAGGTGGTCCAAGGGGGTCCTAAGGGGGTCTCAGGGGGTCCTAAGGGGGTCCAAGGGGGTCCCAGGGGGTCTCAGGTCACCCTCAGGGGATCTCAGGGGGTCCTAAGGGGGTCCTAAGGGGGTCTCAGGGGATCCTAAGGGGGTCTCAGGTGGTCCCAAGGGGGTCTCAGGGGGTTTCAGGTGGTCCCAAGGGGGTCTCAGGTGGTCCCAAGGGGGTCTCAGGGGGTCCCAAGGGGGTCCCAAGGGGTCCTCAGGGGGTCCCAAAGGGGTCCCCAGGGGGGTCCCAGGCGCACGGCCCGGGCGGTGCCCGCCTCACGCACCCTGGGGTGTAGTTCTGGATGCTGGGGGAGAAAGAGGCTCAGGGGGCCTAGAGGGTTCTAAGGGGGTCTCAGACCACCTAAGGGGTTCCTAAGGGGTCCCAGGCGGCAGGCGTAAGCGGCCCAGGCGGTGCTCGCTCGCCCACCTTGAGGTGTAGTTCTGGATGCTGGGGAAAAGGGGGGCTTAGGGGGTCTCAGAGGGTCCTAAGAGGTCCCAGGAGTGGTTTCAGGTGGTCCCAAGGGGGTCTCAGGGGGTCCCAAGGGGGTCTCAGGTCACCCCCAGGTGTTTCTCGTGGTGGGATCCCATCCCTACGTGTCCATCAGGGGGTCCTAAGGGGTCTCAGATGGGTCCCAAGTGGTGTCAACAGAGGTCTCAGGTGGTCCTAAGGGGGTCTCAGGGGTCCTAAGGGGGTCCTAAGGGTCTCAGACCGTCCTAAGGGGTCTTAGGTGGTCCTAAGGGGTCTCAGGTGGTCCTAAGGGGGTCTCAGGGGTCCTCAGGGGTCCCAAGGTCCCCAGGGGGTCAGGCGCTCGGCCCGGGCGGTGCCCGCCTCGCCCACCTTGGGGGTGGAGTTCTGGATGCTGGGGGGGAGGTGAGGGATCAAAGATCACCCCAAGGGGTCCCAGGTGGTCCCCAAGGTGGGATCCCCATCCCTACGTGTCCCTCAGGGGGTCCTAAGGGGGTCCCAGGTGGTCCCAAGGGGGTCCCAGGTGGTCCTAAGGGGGTCCCAGGTGGTCCCAGGTCACCCCAAGGGGGTCTCAGGGGGTCTCAGGGGGTCCCAGGTCACCCCAAGGGGGTCCCAGGTGGTCCTAAGGGGGTCTCAGGGGGTCTCAGGGGGTCTCAAGGTGGTCCCAAGGGGTTCCTAAGGGGGTCTCAGGGGGTCCCAAGGGGGTCCTAAGGGGGTCCCAGGGGGTCCCAAAGAGGTCTCAGGGGGTCCCAAGGGGGTCCCAGACCACCCCAAGGGGGTCCCAGGGGGTCCTAAGGGGGTCCTAAGAGGGTCCCAAGGGGGTCCCAGGTGGTCCTAAGAGGGTCCTAAAGAGGTTTCAGGGGGTCCAAAGGGGGTCTCAGGTCACCCCAGGGTGGTCCCAGGTCACCCTAAGGGGGTCTCAGGGGGTCTCAGGGGGTCCCAGGGGGTCCCAAGGGGGTCCCAAGGGGGTCCCAAGAGGGTCCCAGGTGGTCCTAAGAGGGTCCTAAAGAGGTTTCAGGGGGTCCCAAGGGGGTCTCAGGTCACCCCCAGGTGTTTCTCGTGGTGGGATCCCATCCCTACGTGTCCCTCAGGGGGTCCCAGGGTGGTCCTAAGGGGGTCCCAAAGGGGGTCTCAGGTCACCCTAAGGGGGTCCCAGGTCACCCTAAGAGGGTCTCAGGGGGTTCTAAGGTGGTTCCAAGGGGGTCCCAGGTGGTCCCAGGGGGTCTCAGATGGTCCTAAGGGGGTCTCAGGTCACTCCAAGGGGGTCTCAGGGTGGTCCCAAGGGGTCCTAAGGGGGTCCCAAGGGGGTCTCAAGGGGTCTCAGGGGGTCCCAGGCCACCCCAGGTGGTCCTAAGAGGGTCTCAGGGTGGTCCCAGGTGGTCCTAAGGGGGTCCTCAGGGGGTCCCAGGAGGTCCTAAGGGGGTCCCAGGTGGTCCCAAGGGGGTCCTAAGGGGGTCTCAGGGGGTCCCAAGGGGGTCTCAGGTCCGTATGGGGTCCCAGGGGGTCCCAAGGGGTCCTCAGGGGGTCCTAAGGGGGTCCCAGGGGGTCCCAAGGGGGTCCCAGGGGGTCCCAAGGGGGTCTCAGGTCACCCCCAGGTGTTTCTCGTGGTGGGATCCCATCCCTACGTGTCCCTCAGGGGGTCTCAGGTAACCCCCTCAAATCCCCCTCAAATCCCCAAAATCTCCCCCCCAAATCCCAAAATCTCCCCCAAACTCCCCTCAACTCCCTAAACCCCAAAATCCCCCTTTTCCCCCAAAAGGTACCTGAAGGGATCTCAGGCTGCTCCTAGCGCAGCCCCTGAGCAAGCCCCCTCAAATCCCCCAAACCCCCTCAAATCCCCCAAACCCCTCAGATCCCCCCCAAACCCCAAAATATGCCCCCAAACCCCTTTAACCCCAAAATATTCCCTTTAATCCCCAAATATCCCCCAAACCCCTCAAATCCCCCAAACCCCCTCAAATCCCCAAAAATCCCCAAAATATTCCCCTTTAATCCCAAAATATCCCCCCCAAATCCCAAAATCTCCTCCCCAAACCCCAAAATATCCACCCTAAATCCCTAAATATCCCCCCTAAACCCCCTCAAACTCCCCAAACTCCCCCAAATCCCCCTAAAATCCCCAAATATCCCCTTTAATCCCAGAAATATCCCCCTAAACCCCTCAAATCCCCTCAAATCCCCCCAAACCCCTTTAACCCCAAAATCCCCCTTTTCCCCCAAAACCAATCCCCAACTGACCTGAAGTGATCTCAGGCTGCTCCTAGCGCAGCCCCTGGAGGCCAAGCCCCTCAAATCCCCCAAATACCCCTCAAATCCCCCAAATCCCCCAAACCCCCTCAAATCCCCCAAATCCCCCAAATATCCCCTTAATCCCAAAATATCCCCTTTAATCCCAAAATACTCCCCCAAACCCCCTTTAACCCCAAAATATTCCCTTTAACCCCAAAATTCCCCCTAAACCCCTCAAATCCCCCAAACCTCCCCAAATTCCCTAAAATCTCCCCAAATCCTCCCCAAACCCCAAAATCTCCCTTTTCCCCCCAAAAGGGTACCTGACAGTGATCTCGGGCTGCTCCCAGCGCAGCCCCTGGAGGGCAAGCCCCCTCAAATCCCCGAATCCCCAAATCCCCCAAATCCCCCAAACCCCTCAAATCCCCAAATATCCCCTTTAATCCCCTAAATATCCCCCTTTAATCCCCAAATATCCTCCCCAAATTCCCAAAATCTCCTCCCCAAACCCCAAAATATCCACCCTAAATCCCTAAATATCCCCCTAAACCCCTCAAATCCCCCAAACCTCCCCAAATCCTCCCAAACCCCCAAAATCCCCAAAATATCCCCCTAAACCCCAAAATATGCCCCCAAACCCCTTTAACCCCAAAATATTCCCTTTAATCCCAAAATATCCCCCAAACCCCTTTAACCCCAAAATATTCCCTTTAATCCCCAAATATCCTCTCAAACCCCTCAAATCCCCCTAAATCCCAAAATATTCCCTAAACCCCTCAAATCCCCCCAAACCCCCAAACCCCTCAAATCCCCAAAATCCCCCCAAATATCCCCCTTTAATCCCAAAATATCCTTCTTTAATCCCAAAATATCCCCCCCAAACCCCTTTAACCCCAAAATATTCCTTTAACCCCAAAATTCCCCTAAACCCCCTCAAATCCCCTCAAACCTCCCCAAATTCCCTAAAATCTCCCCAAATCCCCCCAAACCCCAAAATCCCCCTTTTCCCCAAAAGGTACCTGAAGGTGATCTCGGGCTGCTCCCAGCGCAGCCCCTGGAGGGCAAGCCCCCTCAAATCCCCCAAACCCCTCAAATCCCCCAAATCCCCCAAACCCCCTCAAATCCCCCAAAATCCCCAAATATCCCCCTTTAATCCCAAAATATCCTTCTTTAATCCCAAAATATCCCCTAAACCCCTTTAACCCCAAAATATTCCCTTTAACTCCCAAAATATCCCCCTAAACCCTCAAATCCCTCCCCAAACCTCCCCAAATTCCTCCAAATCTCTCCCAAATCCCCCAAACCCCAAAATATCCCCTTTTTCCCACAAAGAGGTACCTGAGATGATCTGGGCTGCTCCTAGCGCAGCCCCCTGGAGGCTAAGCCCCCTCAAATCCCCCCAAACCCCTCAAATCCCCTAAATCCCCAAAAATATTCCCCTTAAACCCCTCAAATCCCCCAAACCCTAAAATGTCCCCTTAATCCCAAAATATCCCCCAAATCCCAAAATATCCCCCCTAAATCCTCTAAAAATCCCAAAATATCCCCCCTAAATCCTCTAAAAATCCCAAAATATCCCCCCCAAACCCCCTCAATTCCCCTTTAACCCCAAAATCTCCCCTTTTAATCCAAAAACAATCCCCAACTGACCTGAAGGTGATCTCGGGCTGCTCCCAGCGCAGCCCCTGGAGGGCGAAGCGGCGCCGCCTCCTCCTCCTCCTCACCTGCGCCTTCAGCCGCGCCCCCAGCTTGTCGGGGACCCCGCAGCGGGGGCGGAGCATCGCCCTGGGGGGAGGGGCCAGAGGGGGGACACGCCCATCAGGAGGCTCCTCCCACCCCTTCCAAAAAAATTTGGACACGCCCCCAAAAAACCCCGCCCGAAACGACCCAAAAATGACCCCAAAATTCAGGTTTTTAGCCCCCAAAATGACCCCAAAATTCAGATTTTAAATCTCAAAAAATGACCCTAAAAATGGCCCCAAAACTCAGCTTTAAAGCCCCAAAAATGACCCCGAAATTCAGATTTTAAATCCCAAAAATGATCCCAAAAATGACCCCAGAAAGGACCCCAAAAATGCCCCCAGCTTGTCGGGGACCCCGCAGCGGGGGCGGAGCATCGCCCTGGGGGGAGGGGCCAGAGGGGGACACGCCCATCAGGAGCCCCTCCCAAAAAATTGGACACGCCCCCCCAAAAACCCCACCCGAAACGACCCAAAAATGACCCCAAAATTCAGATTTTTAGCCCCAAAAATGACCCCAAGACTCAGATTTTTAGCCCCAAAAATGACCCCAAGACTCAGATTTTTAGCCCCAAAAATGACCCCAAAAGTCAGCTTTAAAGCCCCAAAAAATGACCTCAAAATTCAGTTTTTAACCCCAAAAATGACCCCAAAATTCAGATTTTAAATCCCAAAAATGACCCCAAAATTCAGATTTTAAATCCCAAAAATGACCCCAAAAATGACCCCAAAAAGGACCCCAAAAATGCCCCCAAAGATGACCCCAAAAATGACCCCAAAACTCAGCATTTTAACCCCAAAAACGACCCCAAAGGTCAGGGTTGAGACCCCCAAAAATGACCCCAAAAATGACCCCAAAAGTCAGGGTTGAGACCCCCAAAAAGGACTCCAAAAATGACCCCAAAACTCAGCATTTTAACCCCAAAAATGACCCCAAAACTCAGCATTTTAACCCCAAAAACAACCCCAAGACTCAGCTTTTTAGCTCCAAAAATGACCCCAAAATTCAGATTTTAAACCCCAAAAAGGACCCCAAAAATGGCCCCAAAACTCAGCTTTAAAGCCCCAAA